CAGAATGCAGGCACTGGCTGCGTTCAGCAGGAAAGCTGCTTTGCAACTGTTGTAAAATTCGTGAATCTGATTGGTACATGCTCTTGGATTCAACCAAAATTAAGAGCATGCTCCAATTAGATTCACGAATTTTACACAGTTGCAAAGCAGCTTTCTCTGCTGAACGCAGCCATTGATTTACTCCTTGGTACAGTCCTGTAATGAAAAAATACATGAAGCATATGGCGTGAGGAAAATTATCGCCTCTCTACAAACAAACGCAATTATATTTTATTTAGAGTTACGAATTAACCGTGTAGAGCGAAATGGTTGTTTTTACTTGTTTCCATTGTGGCGATGTGATACAGAAGCCTAAAGTGGCGAAACATTACGAGTTTAAATGCCGTAATCCAGTGTTCGTCACATGCACGGATTGTTTAAAAGATTTCCAGTAAGTATCAGTATAGAGATATTGGGCGAGTTTTTTAATTCATCGATGGATTTTACTGTATTTACGCATCATGCGATAGATCCATCGATGAATTAAAAAACTTGACCATTGTGGATAATATATCTTATTAATTATTACGTTGACAAAAACTAAGCTATACGAAATATATAATGAAATTAGTGTTTTAAATCTTTCTTTTTAAAACAAAAGTATGTTAGATACATGTTCTGTTTGTTGTAGCTATATTGTTGAATAATATTGCTGGTACAATAAATTAGAGTGAAATGAGTATATTTCGTGTCATTCTAATTTATTGCATCAATATGTATCAATTCAGCAATACAATTACAAAGAACAGCCCAATAGATTTATTAAAGTTTAATAAGTCACAATAGACTCATCCTACATTTTAAACAATTATGCATATTCTTAATATCTTTTAATAATTTAAGTGGAAATGAGTATGTAGCTCATACTAAATGCATAACCGAAGCCGAACGCTATGGTGGGAAAAATTATGTTCCAAAGGCTAATACAAATAAAGGAGAACGCAAACAAGAAGAATGGCTCAATGTTGTTAACAATTTGCATAATGGAACAGTAAATTTGTCTAATGCTGAGAGGATGGTTCTTGATACTTTATCAAAATTTCACAATATACCAAGAAAAAAAGCTAAATTTCTTAATTTTATAAAATTCATGATAAACAATCGTACAGTAACTATGTCAGTTGTCGAAAGTGTTTGGAGTAAAATGGAAGCTGCATATAAACAAAATCAACAAACTACTATAAAGCTACAAGAATCAGGTAATATAAATTTTAAATTATTTTACAATATAATTAAAAAAAAAGATATAAATAAAATATAATAGGTACAAATAATATAAGATATAATAGACTATTTATTACGTGTTACCAATCCTCAGTATTAAATATTTCAATAACTAACATCCAGAGTTGGACGTTACCAACTGTATAAAGTCAGCTACAACATCTCCTAACATGTAATAATTCTTGTTTTGTAATCTTCAAATTATAGATTTATTAAAGTCTATATGAAATTAAAAAGTATGTAATATATAAAACTATATAAATTTAATGTGTTAATATGTTTGTTAATAGATAAAATGAACAAGACTAACACAAGTATGGATTCCAATCACTCGTTTAGTAATAATCATCAGCATAATATTGACAATCAAAACAATGAAAATATATGCAAGGAACATGAATCTACACGACATCAAAAGGACAATGATGAAGAATGCATGACAAACGGCACTGTGGATGAAACTCAAACTATTATTAAAAAGAACTCTAAGAAACGACAGCTGACTGAATCTGTTGAAATAGAAGAACAACCAGCTACAAAAACTAAGAAAACATCTATTCTAGTAGAAACAAATATTGAGAAAAATAAGGAACGTAAAGTATCATTTTATTGGAGACTTGCAATCTTAGAGATTGTTCAAAATAAGGGTGAAATATCTTTGAAAAAACTTCAAAAAAAGGTAGTTTCATTGTATTTATTCCACTCTGTAAAGGCTTTGGATCGTGATAAGGCTATTGCAAAATTTCATAAAAAATTGAAAAAAATACCTGAAATTGTTGTCTCAGGAAATATAGTGAAATTAGTAAAACCATGCAAACTTTATATAATGGAGTAGGAAATATATGTGTGTGAAAAAGGAAAATGTGATCTCAATCATTGGTTGATAAATTATCACTGCACAAATTCATTTACATAACATTTCTCACACACATGTGTACTCATATCTATACTTATTTTTCTTGTTTAAAGCTGTGTGCAAAACAAGTTTAACTCAATACAAATATAGATGGCTGTTGTATCGTTTATTGTATAAAAGATGATTAATCTAAGCTGTCTAACTAGACGATCGCGAGTGACAACCTAACTTAATTCTAATTTGACTGAAATCATATTGTATTTCTTTTTCCTATTAATCCATCTGCATTGTATAATCTATTTCATTTTTGTTATTTCAGTCGCTTACGTTGTATCGCAAGTTACACAGCTTTGGTTTACATAGTTGTGAGAAACATTTATCTCAGAATCGTGATTGTTGTACAAAGATATGTAAGACTTTTTTATCACATCATATATAAAATGAATATACGATTCTTACTTTATATGAATTAAAATCTTACAGAAATTATTTAATGAAAATTAGATCGAAATTCATGTAAAAATTTATCTGAGTACAACGCATGATTACTCATAGTTGCTAGAAGACCCTTTGTAAGTACCTTAGGGTCATTAACTCCAAAGTAAATAGGTTGTTGGTCATACAATTGTGTTACTGTTCCTCCTAAAGCTCTGCAACAAGAAATTAAAAAAAAATTAATAAATAAACATTATATGTAATAATGAAATCCAGTAGAAGAATGATACCTGAGGATTGCAGTGCCTGCGCATATATCCCATTTCTTAATAGCAGTTGTATGAACATATATTGTTGCATTATCAACAGCTACTTCCAAGAACTTATAACCTAAAATAAAGTATTCCTTTTATATATATATTCATAAATTCTCCAACAATATAAAAACATATTGAAACTTTTAAGCCCAGAAATAAATTTAAAATGTAAGAAAAACATAAAACATCTTGGAATTCTTGCAATTAATATTATTCATATTAAATTTTAATTGAAACAAAATTTTATTATTGAAATATATCTCTTCACCTGCACCAGCAGCAGATATAATTTCAACATTGTTACCAAAAGCAACTTTAGATACATTATTGACTTTTCCAGCATGTGAACGAGACACAATCAGGATAGGTGGCCTGTTATCTCTTGCCTATGGAGGGAAAAAATTATACTGATAAAATGAGTTTCAAAACAATTTACCATTTCATTTACCTTGGGCAAATTTTTCAGATTTTTTGATACACCATAATTGGTCCACGTCCAAAATAAACTGTAATTCTGTTTTGTCTCAAAAGGTTTATAAATAACACCAATAATAGGTTGTCCTTTAACAGCTATGCACACCATAGTAGTTACATATTGTAATAAATTTTCTAAAATTATGGAAAAAATGTAAATGTCATCATTGTGAAATAAATACTACATTAAGTTAAACGTACAAGATATTCCAAAACAACTAAATACCCTTTCATAAAGAATTAAAGCCCATTTTGTTTAGTAAATCTTGCATCCAATAATCAAAAAAGAACATTCGATGAATCTAGAATATCTTGTATAAAAACATGATAATTTGATGGTTTTAGAATTTTGCATCAAACAATTGTGCCTCTGTGAAATAATTCAATTAAGAAACAGATTTTATTTTAAATTATCACAATATCTTAATATTTCTAAGACTATCCAGATACAGATATTAATATATTACAGCATTGATGTTACCATTTGTATCATATTTGAAAATTGATTTTAGTGTTTGATCCTGAAAACAACCAGCAGTTTTGTAATTGCTATATAACTATAAATAATTGTGAAAATATTGTTTCTCAACTGCAGTTATAAACATATATCTTCTATATATTTATAGTCTACAATTCAATTTTTCTCTTAACTCTTTCCTATATAAAATCTACATTGAAGTGATACATGTTTTTTCTGGTTGTTTATATGAAAGAATTGTATATTACTTCAATAAAATTTTTTTTACAACAAATTACTTGCATAGCAAGTTTATTGTGGATATTGGAATATGATTAAAGTACACACATATGTTACCTGTAAATTCTTTAGTAGCATCCAAAGGATCTATCCAGATTGTAATATCCTTAGTATTTACTATTTCATCGCTCATATTGTAACCATCAATACTTTTAGCATAATTCTTAATATCTTCTATTGCAATCTTGTCACAATCTTGTGACGTTTCCTCAGATATCACAGTAATTCCTGGGAATGCTTCTGTCAAAGCACGATACATGGCACAATGCGATCTATAGTCAGCTGCTGTTACTGGGTCATTTACTCCTTAAAACAAACAAATTTATTCCTTAAAATAAACAAAAAGATGTTAAATTGTTACCTTATATAAAAAAAAATATATATATATAAAGTATAAAAAATAAACAGTAAATGATATATTCATGTAATAATTATTATAATATGTATTAAATATAGCGTTTTAAACTGTGTTACCTTCCTTCGTTTGGCCTTTGCTCTCGACTTTGAATTTAATTTGATGGTGCACTGCCACTACTTCGAGTCCTCCGAGTTCTGCCGCCCTTATCGCAGCAGCTAAGAGCTGCTTCAAGGATACATCCTTGTCATTCGTACGCAGACTCGAGTATAAATAGATAATACCCACAAAAATCAGGGATATGCAGAGAAGTATTTTTTTTATACGCACACTCATCTTGTTGCACACTGTAAATTAATGACGTGCAAGTAATAATAAGTCGTCGAAATATTTATCAAAATTTAATTTTATATTCCACCATCGTGCATATCTTTTCATTGTGTAAAAGAAAAAGAGATTCAGTCTGATTTTTTAACGACTACAAATATTCTGTAAATGAATAATAACAACACTATATATAATGCGGCTTTTTCTTAACCTTATTGAGTCAAGTTCTAAATAATCAGAGAAACGCAAGCAGTGTCTCACTTGCTGATTGGCTGACCGCAATACCAATCAGAACCGAGAATGTTAAGCCCTTCGATATAAAGCCCGTGCAACATTTTGCAACGTTGTTGCAATGTCACAATATTGCAAAACAATGATGCTGCAATGTTGCTGCAACGTTGCTATGCTGTATAGGTATGAATCATTGAATAAAGAATACTAACAGAGAGAATCATTGAATAAGAGAATCATTGAATAAAGAATACCAGCAGGAGAAACCTAAGAGCGGCCACGCCATAAATTTTGGCCGACACCGATTTTCACGTATGGCGTGGCCACTCTCAGGTTTCTCTCTGCTATAGATTAGAATTAAGGGTGTGTTCCCACTTAGCGCGTCATTCGTTGCGTCGTCCGAGTTAAACCAATCAAATCATTCCATTTTATTGCGTACTTTATGCCGAATAAAATGGGACGATTTGATTGGTTTAACTCGGACGACGTGACGTGCTAAGTGGGAACGCACCCTTAGAATGCACCCGGGTAAGGAATCTGAACGCACCGAAAAGAGACACACTAGTTATAAGAGGTCCCGATTGATCACGATGCAATTGGACACAACCAATGGATGCAAAGATTTATCTGGTGAATTATTAAGTTCAATCAATCATTGTACTCTGGTAGCGTTCCAAAATTTACTGCCAGTATTGGGATCTATAGTTTATGTCACGTATATTATAAATTTTCAGTACTGACATTGAATTTCGGAACGCAGCCTCTATTAGCATATTCGACTGGCTCTGGGTTAACCTACTCTGGATTATTTAGCCTACGTTTATTGGTCAAACATGTATTTATAAGCATTATGATTGGTTAGTAGAGACTTATGACGTCCTTAATCGCTCTCGGAGCGATTAACCCAGGTCGAACACGCTACTAGGTTTGTTCGAGTTGCTTGTACTTTTCACACTTTTACACTTAATGCCCATTGCACACTAGTGCACTCCAAACAACACAAATTTTCAAAAATACATTCTGAAGACGTTTTCAGGACGGAGGGACGTCATCAGAATATTCTTAGGACGTCCTTTGAAAGTGTGAATTGTTTGAAAATAGCTAATATCCAATAAGTTTATTCACATTAATTGAATTTTTTACACTTTCACACTTAGTGCACATTAATTCTTTAGAGGTTCTAAAAATGGCGTCATGTTTTCCGTTCGTGTTACGAGTGTAAATGCAATTCTGATACACTTTTCACTCTTGCTTGGGATCAAGTGTAAAAAGTGTATCAAAATTGCAATTACACTCGTAACACGAACGGAACTCATGACGTCATTTTTAGAACCTCTAAAGAATTAATGTGCACTAAGTATAAAAGTGTAAAAAGTTTAATTAATGCGAATAAACTTATTGGATATTAGCTGTTTTCAGACAGCTCACATCTTCAAAGGACATCATAAAAATATTCTGATGACATCCCTCCGTCCTAAAAGCGTCTTCAGAACGTATTTTGGAAAATTTGTAATGTATGAGGTGCATTAGTGTGCAATGGGCATTAGGTGTAAAAGTGTGAATAGTATAAGCAACTCGACAAACCTTATAATGGCTCCTGCACACAGGACGCGGTAATGCTTGCCGCGCGGCGGAAATTCGCGCGACAGCCAATCAATATGCTGCTTTCCATAATAACCTTCTAGCTCTTACGGAAAAACAACATATTGATTGGCGCTGTCGCGCGGTTTTCTGCTGCGCGGCAAGCATTACCGCGTCCTGTGTGCAGGAGCCATAAGTCCAATCGAGTCTCATCTCTAGTTACTAGTACGTAGTTTTGGCGGGAAGTAATGGCGTCGCGAATTTGAAGATCTCTCACTTGTCATTTTTCAACGTTTTTTTTCATTTGTGAACTTTAACAAAACATGATAACTCCAGGTACATTATAAACCACTCAAGACTGTTTCGTAGCAATCTAAGTACACTTAATAAGCAGTACAAGAAAAATCTTGGATTAGATCTGAATTCTATTTTAACTCTTTCACAGAATTTACCGAATAACACCGAAACGTTCAAATCGATGCGATCGAGGGATGCTCACAATACAGTTCGGACAGTGCGGAAATCAACTCGGGTACAACTTACTATCGAAGGTATCTGCTGACTTAAAAAGTCCAAATACCGGCGTTTCTTATGGCGTTAATTACGAGTATACGGAAAACACAATCGAAAAGTGGTTTGATGGAATTGCCGAAGATGACCGGTGTCTCGCGAGAGCGATTCTCGTCGATACCGAAGAGAAGGTTGTGAACAAAATACGTAAAGAAACGACCACATCGTGGCTCTATCGACCAAGTAACATCGTTTGCCAATGTGACAGTGGTGGTTCTGCCAACAATTGGGCCTATGGCTACTGTATAAACAGCAAACTATTGTCAAACACTATTTTAAATGTTACACGACAACAGATTGAAAAATTAGATCGTTTCCAGGGATTTCTTCTGCTTCTTAGTTCAGCTGGTGGCACAGGATCTGGTGTTGGAAGTCGTATGATTGAACTTCTACGTGAGGAATATATGACTAAGACCATTGTTGCTGCAATTGTATTGCCATTTACTTTTGGAGAAGTATGCGTTCAAAATTATAATACTATACTGACTTTAGCAAAGTTCTGCAATCGAGCTGATCTTTCATTATTATTTGAAAATGAGAAGGTATATGCTACATGTGCCAACTTGTTACAAAATTCTAACACAGCGTTACATGACATGAACGATATTGTTGCTGAAAATCTGCTTGCTGTCTTTCAGCCTATTAATGACACCAGATATAACGCGAATTCCTTAGTATCCAGTGTAGCAACACATCCTAGTTTTAAATTTGCAACAATCAAGAGTACTCCTTATGTTCCTGCAACATCTCTTCAATATGAACCCACACACAAGTGGGATGTGTATATACGCCATTTGGAGCATGCTCTACAAGTGTCAAGGTCCCAAGCAGAATTAACTAACATCCAACAGAAGAAACCAACTGCTTCAATAAGCAAAAGCATGTGTTACATGTACAATCCCTGTGTATCCAATATTCTTGTGACACGTGGTAGATCTATGGCAGATGATATTATAGTGACAACAAGTCTGCAGAAAAAGCATTTATACCCAAACTGGATTGCATCAGATCCATTTACTCATTTGCATCAAGAACGTAGAATTTTGAATCGAAACAAATTTCTAACATTAGTCACAAATAATTCTGAGATACACCGTCCATTGGATGTGTACCTAGATAAAGCATGGAATTCTTATAAGTGTGCAGCTTTCTTGCATCAGTACAAACAGTTTGGCTGGGAAGAAGATGATTTCTTGCGAGCTTTTGCAAAAGTTGAGAACATTGTGCAGGAATACAAGAATTTGAGCCAGAATGGAAATTAATTTTGTCTACATATAATTTGCATTCAACTAGTGTATTGTCATCAAAAGATTCAATATAATTATGTACCTGAGAAAAGCAGAAGACAGTGAGTATACCAGATTAATTACCAGATTCGATACAAAGTTCGTTTTCTATTGGTGAATTGGTTACACTAATTTACACTAGTTTTCTTCTTTTCTTTCTTTTATCAAGTTTCAACTATGTACCTGTTCTTAAGTTCTGTACCTTTCTTTTTAAATTCTGTAAGTGTATAGTAGTTCAGTAAAAAGAAATCTATAATTATCTCATTTACAAGGAAAGTAAACTATGACACTACAGAATTGAATAACTAATTCAAGTCGGGAATTTTCAATACTTCGGATATTGTCCAGAAGCATAACGAAAAAAACATAATGACTTTCAAAAAATCTATCTAAATATTGTTTGAGCAAATAGCTACATATTATTTCAGATGCGAATTTCGATTTTACTGAATTCGCAATTATCTCTATACATGTTTATATAATTCATTTTAAAAATGTGCATTCACAAACAATATGTCTACGAGCTTCTTTCGGGAAAAGCAGCAAATTGTTAAAATTCGCATTCTTTTGTCAGGTGTATAAACTTATTTCGGAATCCATTCTCTCGACGTCTTTCCTACGCTTTTTCGTGTAGCGCGTGGGCGCTTACGCGAGACCGTCAGTATCACGGTCATGGTTACTACGAGATGAAGAGGGGTAGTCGTGACGTCATTGGGGAATCGACCAAGCTGCGGCTACGACGAACACATGAAAGAGATTCTCGCGAGGAAGAAGGAAGGTAAGAAAAAAAGGAGTAGGAGAGGAAGGAGAAAGACGGGTTGGAACGAACGACTGTGTTTACCGCTCGATCGGGAGGAAAAGCGGGATACGAGCCGAGTTGAGCCGAGTCGATGCACCGTGTGCTTGATTCTTCGACGATCACGCTTCTGCGCAATGTGCGAACATCTCACCCTCTCTTTCTCTCTCTCACACATTCTCTCTCTTTTTTGTTCTCGCGGAGGTGGATGCAGAATCAAAGACTTGACCTTTTAGTTTCTTGGAAAAGAGGGAAACATTTCCAGGAAACGCGTGTTTCTTTGCAACCCTCCTTTCACGCCAACTCGGAAAACATCCAAGAGGTGATCGAGCGACGGTATCTCGTCGAATGAGCTGACTCCAGGCTTACTAGCGTTCCAAAATATTCGTCGTTACGTCATTTCGTAGTTCTGTAACAGGCGCATGAGGTTTATTACATTTGGTTTATTACATTTGTAATAAACCCAATCAACAACTGATGAATAACAATCAAGATTTTTATTCTGAACTTTCTTTTATCAACAAAGCATCAAAGAGATTTATATTAATTAGCTTTCTTAGGCTCTAATTCTCAAATCTATTTTACTGATAAATTTGAGAATAAGGGTTTGAAAAAGCTACATACATTAACATAAAGAAATCAATATTTGACACTTTGCTTTAAAATACATTTTTTATTCTAGAATCTTTGTATGCTTAGCCAGCATCGTTTCGATATTCTATCGTTACGAATGTTTTCAATCTTATAAACGATAAAGCTTAAGATAATTATATGAAAGCTAGAACTCTGGTTTTTTCAATTGAATCTTTCGCATGTCATACTTAAGATATTTTTTAATGTAACTTTAAAATATAACTTTTGGTTCGCTTCCTTGGTTCTCCCAGCTCAGACGTGCACCTACAAAAACGAATCGGTGCTATTATACCGAATCGCCGAGAAACCACTGAAGCGACATCCTACAGTGGATTCTATACAGCACATCCTTCTCAAAGCGAGATTTAAAAAAAGAAGCATCTCACTTCCGTACTACGTCGTCGCGAGGCAGAGAGAAGGAGAGGGAGAGAGAAAAAAAGGGTTCTCGTGGCCACGTCTCTCTCCGGGCTCGAATACCTAGAGAGGCGTGGTTTCGGACGTAGAGGAACCTGTTCGTTCTCCCCGCCGCACCTCGTCGCGTCGCAGCGTGACGTCTGCAGGCAGCCAGCGGCGAGTGGCGGCGGTGCGCCGCGTCGGATCCGTCGTCGATCCGGCACAGCTACGTCTCACACCCGCGCAAACAACCCAGAGCCTGAGCGTCTAGCGACGTACTGAGGGGCCGGAGGGGGCTGTGGCGTCGGAGTCGCGGGGCAACGGTGCGCGCCATTTTGTCCAGTGTTCGTCGAACGCGTCGCGCGTCGGGTCGTCCATGGGGTTGATCGCTGCGCGAGCATAATAAATCGGAGCAGAGCGTGTGCGCTATACGTCGGTGCGTTGACGGTGGCGGTGCAGTACTATACGCGCGCTCGTACGACGCAACCTGTACCTGTGTACCTGCACACGTACAAAATCGGACGGACTTGCTCGGGTCCGGGCCGGTGTAATATGTATTCTGTGGCTCCGGTCGTGTCTGTGGCGACGTACCGCCTCGAGGAGAACGTTCTCATGAACATGGGCGAGCGACGGCAGATGTAGCGTCGTGACGACGCTTCGACGCCGCAAGGGAAGAACGACACGGCACTCGGTGAATAGCGGCGACAGCGTCGATTATTCTGCGGATGTCTTCTCCCCGTCGTCATCGCCGGAGAACGGCGCGCTACGTGCAGGTGAGCACCGACGCGCGAGTCAGGGTAGCGCGCGCGACTTCTCTGTAATCGATAAAGCGCGCGTCTCTCTTCCTTGTCCGTCCTTGTCTGGTCCTCTCCTCGTGATGGCACGAGAGCGCGCGCTCACCCCCATCTCACTCACTCTCTCTCTCTCGCGAGGAGGGCTTCACGCTCCGCCGAATGTTATTCCCGTGTAGCGACGGCGACGGTGACAACGTATGTATGAACGGATCAACGGCGAACACCGTTCGCTTGTGCAAAACGGGCCCGAGGAAAGTGAAAGCTCGGGCAACGCCGATCGCACTTCGCCTCGTGCGCAGATCCTGTCGCGCGACGCGAGGATAACACGCTGCTTTTCAGAGAAAATGGATCTGTCATTCGCACATTCAGGAAAAGAAAAAGGAAACGATTATGCTGCGGTAGCGTGCACTGCTGCGCATTCGACAACGTTGCGCACAGATTATTTCTTTTTCTTTCCTTTTTTTTTTTCTAAAAAAGCCGCGACCATCGAAACGCTCAGCGTAAATTTTGCTCAACGCTATTATGACAGGCTGAGCGTTTCGTTGTCGTGACTCGCTTATTATGATATGTCACGCTTATACGCTTTTATGGTAATTCGTGTGTGCGACGGCTTGAAAGCTGCAAAGAGTTCACCCGGGACGGGCAGACGTAGTCTGCCTTACTGTCTATCACTGGTGTCCGTCTCTGATGCTTGTCAAGTTGATTCGCGAAGAAAGTCGTGTGAAAACGCGAGATTAGCTGAAATCAGGTTGACTTGCATGTTTTGGGGCAAATCAGAATTCCAAAGGACTTGATGTGAAGAGGCTTCTGCCGCTTTGTTCATTCTCCGTTGCTATATTCAACTAAGTTAACATTGAGAAAAAACTTAGGTCCATATTAGTAGTTATTATTACTCGTCTCAAGTGAGATACTCAGATTTGAATCGACAAATGAGAGTTTTCCAGTTGAATTACTATTACAGATATAAATGTTACATGATGCTGTTTATAGTTTAATTGAAAAACTTGGATCTAACTCTGAATAAAAATCTGAGTACCTCACCTCATGAGACAAGTTTCAGGTGACAATTATTAATATGGATCTCAGACTTTTGTTCAAAGTTTGATCCAAGTTTTTTTATTTACGATATATGTAACATTCATATCTGCAGTTGAAATTCAACGAAAAAAAACTCTCATTTAACTCTGAATTCAAATCTGAGTATCTCACTCATGAATTTCAAGTATTAACTATTATATACACCTTAGATATTATAAATACTGCTCGCTATTACAATAATCACATTTGATTTTTCTTGCAATTCTTGCGTTTTCTTTATTCGTTTATGCAATTTGAATCAAGTTTAATACATCGATCAACCCTTTCACCGCTACTACGATAATGACGGTGCAACGAATTCCTGAGAGATTATGTGCTATTTTCACAGACCACAACCTTTCATTTCTACCTGGTGGGAGCAATAACGCAGACATAATTAATGCAAATTTCATAAAACAGGAAGAAATTTCGAGTCGCGCACGGTTATTGTACCGGTTATGTCCAAAGACCCGAAACATCCTGATAGAAGTTTCTAAACTCGCCACGGCTACGCGATGATAATGGGCGAACATGAGTGCGCTTAAAAAAGTTCAAGCATAACGGACGGAGTCGGAGAAATAGGTTTTGGTCGCTTGGAATGGAGGGAAAACACTACGTGAGAACGATCGCTCGTTGTATTTAATGCCAGTACGAGTTTTAGATGGGGCACTGATAGCATTAAACTCAACGATAACATTAAACCGTTAATTAACCCTATTTCACGTGCGTTGAATCGTGCTTTGACAAGCGGAAGAAATACCTCCGGATTCATTCAGCCCGCGCATCTTGGTAATTGAAGCAACGATCGCGAAGTATAACCATTGTTAAATGTGAACAACTAGAATCATATAGATTGCGTATATACAATAGCTAATATAATGTAGAGGAAACGTCTATACATGCGCATACACATATAACACGTCTTAAAGTTAATTTCAACCGAACGATTAGCACGCCACATTATCCACTTTCTGTATTAATTCGAAGAGATAAATCATGAATCGTTTCATTAAGAGAAATTGTCCAGTTAAGAGTTAATTATCAACTCTTAACAGTTAAGAATTAATTGAGAAACGTCGATTTACTTTGATATTAAGTTATCAAGAACAGCAAAATTTGGTTAATGTTCGTCAGATCGATACGTTCGACTATCTCTGATTCTTATTTAGAAAGGAATACAAATAGAAAAAGAGAGAGATTAGAAATATAAATAAAAATTAGAAAGTCAATCCCTCCAGAAGCATAAATATAAACACGATTGAAACTACAACGTGTTACAACGTAGAAGATTATTTTTCGTGTGTTTATGCGCAGTTATCGCGCATAAAAATTAATGAAAAGTCCTAAAACAGAGTTGTAAGAGACGCAAAGTCTCAGTGGCGAGTGTAACTAGTGAAAATTCTGATCTTATCCAACTTGTTTCTTGGAAATAAAATCTGATCATTAAAGGCGGGTAGACCATCGCGAGCAGCGTCGCGATCACTGACATTATCGAGTGGTGATTTCAATGCCAGGATACGCGATAGAAGCGTGCGCAAACTATCCTTTAAAGAATCGGCCGTGCGATTCATGTGTTTATTTACGAGGCGCTGAGGGGCGCTTCATTCATACTCGGCGACTTTAACCGATCGATACTACACACAGGGGAGGCAAACATCGAAGATACAATCCCGAAAATACAATTCGCTCGGAAATACGCTCGGGTATACGCTCCTGACTCTTTCCGGCGACTAACCGTCGCGTACGATATCCTGCTATCTGTTAAGAAAAAATCAGTATTTCGTGGAAAAGTTTCACTCTATAACGACACACACGGAAAAAATGTTGTAGTAAACGTTGGAATTATATTTCTTTCTACAATGTTTTTTTGCAAAGAGCGTGAAATGATACTGAAATACTGAAATTGTGGTAGAAATTTCTATAGAATATGTAAATATTAAAAATATATAGTAATAAATATGTAATAATATAATAAAATATGTAAAAATAATATAAATAGTAAAAATATGTAAATTTGTGATAATCCCTACCTGATGAACGATATAAAAAAAACATTCAAATAATTACAATAATTTTGTAGTAAAACGTCAAATGCGCATAACATTTTTAAACAAATATATAATAAATTCGATCATAATTCTGTATCTAAATTACAAAAAATTTTGTTGTAATTTTTACCACAGAATTCTCTCCATGAAAACTAAGCGCGAAACTTTTAACAGAAATTCAGAAAATACTGACTAACACATGCATTCATAAAAGAAAACAGTCGATATTTAGCCTATAATTAACGTACGTTTATGAACTGAAGCCAAATTGCAAAACTGTCGAGAAAGTTGAGAAAAAATACCATTATATACATGAAATACGAATGAGCAACTAGCAGGTATGCACAAACGGCTTCGATGAGCACCGCTTGAGATCGTAACGTCGCACCTTTTTAACGATGTTGGAAATGGGTTTTTATATTCTCCACCCTCAACGTTCGTCCATCTTAATCCTCAAGGGACAATGCTTGTTCAGCGACTCTGGAGAGCAGGTCTGCTTTTGTGCACGCCAGTCAACTCGCACGCGATCCCTCGGATGGACGGTTCGTTCTCTGCACCAGTGCTTCCCGGCCATTTTTGCGTCGCGTTGTCGCTCGTAAAAGAGAGTAATATTTGCACGACCGGAGTAGACCGGGGTAAGTCAGAGAGGGTGGTTCTGGGGACGACCTTATAGGGTCCATAAACAATCATGTCACTGTACCGTTACGCGCGCTTACGTTATTATTCCGTTGTTTTGCAATATCTTGATAATTTGCAACGCTCGCGCGAAACGCGAATCCCCGACGTTGCGTGTCTTTTTTTCTTTTAGAAAGTATAAAATACAATGTATATTATATGTGAACGGACCGACATATGCGATGCTACCATTCGTTGCTATTTCTGTCAGATGGCCGCATGCGAGTTATATCTGATCGAAGTTGCCATTTACGTGCATATACAGGGTGCATAGAATTAGAGCGGAGGGTGTACACCCCTCTCGTTAAAATTCATGTTCCTAGGACGAAATCGGCAACCCTTCGGGATCGCCGGGCTGTGTTCACTCTTGCGGAACACCGTCCCTTGCGCAGCTTCAAATTCTCTCTCATCTTGGAAAAATTGACGGACCTTCCGCGAGATATTATCCAGATGGCACATGTACAGGGTGTTCCAGATCATCATTCTCAAACTTTGCGAGAACACAGGACGGATTGTGGTGAGCAAGAAAGTCCTATATCGTTTTGCGATATTCGCAATAGTTCTCGAGAAATTAATTTTAGAAAATTGCGTGAAGAGAGGAGGTGCACTCGAACCGCTGAATCGCTCGAAACTTAAGGCGTTTTTTCGTTTCGTGACCACGATACCGTTTGGTTGGTTGGTTTGGTCCACTTAACGCTCGCAACGCTTTGAGTAACAAAGATAAAATGACGCTCGCAGCGTTGCGAGCGTTAAGTGGACCAAACTAACCAACTAAATGCTATCGTGGTTACGAAATGAAAAAACGCCTACAGCGCGTTTCAGGTGGTTAAGAAAAGAGTGGGCGAGAGGAAGAACAACGCCTATTCTTATAACGCTGCGTTCCTACGTCTCGCCTTGGCGCGGTGCGGCAAGACGTAGGAGCGCAACGATATAAGCACAGGCAGTGATGTACTGTTCTTCCATTCACCGCGCACTGTATTACTGAGCCACGAGCGGCTCGAACAGCTCGAGCGCTTCTCCTTTTACCATTCAGCGCGCGCTATTCCTTTTACAATTATCTGGAATACCCTGTATATTTTGATTCTGAAAAGATAACTACTATAGATATACGCCGAATTTCAAGTACATTTTCTCTGTTATTGAGAAATTTTATACGAAGAAAAAGAAATCTTTCCTTTGAAAATATCCTTTCTTGACATGTAAATTTTAAAAAATTACATAATGTTAAAGATAAGTTACTTGCATCGTGATATATTTTTTACATGATTCAACAAAGAGAAATATATTTTTATTATCTAAAAATAATTTTTTTATGAAAGGAAAGTATAACATGTTGGATTGAGAATATTATGTTTTTAAGTATCACACATAGATATCATTATCACATCAAAATAATTATGTTGTACTTTTTATGAGATAATTATAACATTCAGATAAAATTATAACATTGTTGAAATTTAAGACTTTAAAATTCTTCTTAAGACAAAATTACATTAAAATTATATATTGTTGCTTACATATCAAACAATTATTAATTTGAGTATATTAATTTTAAGTGAATATTAATGTTTCTTTTGCCTATGTATGTGATATAAAGATTATTTTACGATGTTGCGCGTTTTAGAGGGATAGACACTATTTCTCTAAAACACTTTGTAATCACTTTCGTGTTTATGATCAGTAATGGAAATTATGTTAGAATTTTATGTCAAAAATAGATATGAAACTAAAGCCGCCCCCTTTCCCCCCGAATCAATATAAATTGGACGAGTAATGACGCGGCATGAGCAAAGTCTCTCTGGGACGATATCGGAAACGTATATTCACTTGTGCGTGTCAGGCTTGACGGAGACACAGGGGTCGACCGGTTCGAGTAATCTGGAACTTGGAACTTACCAAGACTTCGACCCAGGTGTGCAGAATTAAACGGGGACACACCTACGAGTGACTCATTATAGAGGAGTTCCTGGTTTCTTTCGCCCTCTGCATAAGGGATGTATGGCGGATAAACGTTAAGCACAAATCACCCTTCGTGCGTCGTGGCTTTTGTCGACGACTACATATTTCAAATCTGCCGAAAGAGAGTACAGAGACCTTTATTAGTTATATAATAATTAGATAATTAGGAAGAGAGAACACGAAGATCTACAATTGCAATTCCAAAACGTAGATGATTAACGCATTCATTGTTAGACGAGACGCCTTTCTTCCTTGCACTGGTCGCAGCTTATCTAAAGCTTAAAAACGACATTCCATACACGATAAATATTCGAATGCTCAATGCCAACAGTACTTTAAGGCACGACATTAACACGCATATTCGGCAGCACGTTGAGTGTTATTACATGGCATTCCTCATGTCAAGATATACACAGAGAACAGCATAAATATACCTTAATATTTATGTTATTAAAGATACTGCGATTTTTTCAATCGTGCGCATATATCCAGACGCAATGTATAGGATTGAAAAACAGTCACTGAGTAGTAAGATTGTTATGCAGGTCTGTTACAAGTGCATATAAGCACAAGTGCATATTGTCCACAGTATCGTGATTGGATTTCAAGTATTTTCTTTAAAATTAGAAGAATTTGACAATGATGTGAGTAAGAAAAACGCACACAATAGTTCTAGCAATGTCAATATTGGAAGAAAAGAGTATATTAACAAATATATTGTAACTTTTAAAATAATTTTCCTCTAATTATCTAATTATAGAAGTATTAATCATAAAAAAAAGAGTTTGTATGTTGCTTTATGTCTGTTTTTATCGATATCAATTAAGCTTTAATCAGAGTTTAAGGCTTTGTGCAAAGAAAGTTTAAACTCAAACTCAGTTTAACTCTTTAAGTGTCACTGGTACCAGTAGAAATCACTTAGGATCGGGCAGTTGAAACCTTATAAATGTGCTATTTAGAGTGTTTTTGACAATATTTCATTAAAAAAAAGTTACTAGAATATTCTATGAATTATACGCTTTAAAGGGTTAAGGTTTAAGAGGCAAATTTTCTTTAACTATAGCAACAATATTTGATAATTTATCTGAAGAAAATTATTAAATGAATATGTTTTAATTTTAAACATAAACATGTAATTAAATAATATTCGCATTTTAACAAAAAAAATTTATAATTATTTTTTATATAGGAATAACGTCACAGTGTCCATTATCACTCACAGCCTGCAGCTCTTGCATGTTTCCCTGATTTGTACGATTTATATTTACACAACAGTCTAATAAAACAAATTTAAAAAACTTTCTTATAAATCAGTGTATTGTAGGGTTATCTCCCGAACCAAAACTTTTATTTCTAAACAATTAAATTTTTTGGCTCATTTTAAAGAAAAAAATAAAATTTCTCGTTGAAATTCGCTTTTTTATTTTATAAAAACAGCTAAAACTAAAATAAAAATTCTGACCCGTGAAATTATAAATATAATACTATTTTATAAGATAATTTTTTTATTTTCTTGATTGGACTATTGCACAAACGTAAATCATACAAACCAAAGAGGCATGTAAAAGTCACAAATTCGGAGCGACAATAAATATTGTAACATCATTTCCACACAAAAAGTAATTATAAATTTTTTTTGTGTGTGCAAATGCAAATATTATTTCATTACATATTTAAAATTCAAACATTTATTTAGTTGTTCTCTTTAAATAAATTCTCGAATATTGTTGCTTCTTTTAGTCTAATCTACACTCTTAATCGACGTTGGCGAAAGCAGGCATTAGAAACAACTAAACCATTTTCCGTATTTTGGTGGAGTATCAGAGTAGTTGAAGAGGAGTCACGTAGCGATTTTACAGGAACAACGATATTCGCGGTGTGTCGCTCGATGATTCGAGTTTGCGTATGTTCGCGCGTCTCAATACCGCTTCATGCGAATCTCACTTGTTTCAATGGCTCTCTTAATTGCCGTGAAAAATGCGCAAATAACAGGGCCGCGGGACTAGCTCCGCTGAGAAATTCACGTGCGGAATAAAACGAACGTTACGAGCTTCGGTATGCGACGGTCAAATACCACACCTCTTACTAGATCGGCATTCCATTGAATCCGCTCCGCCCCCCGATATTATGCCAAAGGCATGATCTTTCATTGCTCTTTTTTCATTTGCGTCCGTTCCGGTGTATGACGGTGCGGTAACACGTGATAACACGCGCAGGTATACAAATCTCGTGAGAGGATGCTGCATGAGCGCGAGCTCTCCAGATATATTAAGATACGATAGTTGTCTTCCGCATCGTGAGGAGATCAAGCTGTAGATTGTTAAAGCCACACGTAAAAAATGTTATATTGAAAATTACAAGCCTATTTTTATGGTCTTGAACCCTACAGAAATTATGAACAAAACTACTATATATTTCAGTTTACGAAAAATATATATATTTGCTTAAAACTGTTAGATTCATTTAATTTTTTACAAAAAAAACTGTTGTGATTGTTTAAATTTTTTTTTATCGCATATTTGGCTTAGTAAACAAGTCGAATTTTTGTTTTAATTTAATATTGTTGATTGAAATACTAAACTTACTATAGAATTAAAAATTTTTTTTAATAAATTTGATGCTTATGATGAATTCATGACAGAAATTTGCGGATATATATATATATATATATATATATATA